GTGTTTGTGTGTGTGTGTGAGTGTAAGTGTAATATATTATATGCATATAATACAGTGTTAATGAATACATGTATTACTAATAAATGTGGCGTTCTGCCTTATTCCCCCTGAAAAGATCCTGGGCAGTACTTTAAGTACAACACAGCTGCAGTCAGACCCATTTCAGAACAAAGAACAGAAATTGCACCCACAGAGTCCATAAAGTCGACCATTATTGTCATGATTTGTATTATTCACTGGGCACCATCTGTGCACTCAGCACAGTTCAGAAAATCCAGTCCTTGAGCCACTGCACAGAAGCTGTGTAACTCTGGAGAAGATGGCTCCAATATTGAAGTATGAAGTGTACTGTTATTGACCACACGTTATCACACTAATGTCTCTGGGAGGAGGTGCTGATGGCAATAGACGTTTTACTGGATGAAGGACTAGAAGATTTGACCCTCCAACTTTCTTTCAAGAGGAAGAGCTGGCCAGAGCTCCTGTGCCTGTGTATTTGCCTTTCCTGCCTGCAGTGGCCCTGAGATACCTCAGACGTCTGTTTTTTTCCCCCAACTTTAAAACGTTGAATTTTCTTGGTGTTTGATTTTAAAATATTCTCCTGTGAAAACTGCAACTCAGTCACTGTAGTGTTGTGTTTAAGAGCCGTCGGGAAAGTAACTAGGCTTTAAACAGAAGTGCAGTGTTGTCAACTCTCATGATTTTGTTTTCCTTAAAGCCCCAGCTCCTGGAGTCAAGTGCTATGTGAAGATTTCAGCCTTCATTCTTAAAGAAAAATGAAGTTTCTAGCCCTTGTGACTGTGGAGAAAGCTTCAAAATGTGACCCCAGTGCACCTTAAAGGCTCAAAAAGCAGAAGGCAAATAAAACCCCCAAATCTATTATTTTTACATAATCTCATGATTTTAAAGCTAATCTCATGATTTTTGGGGAGCCTGATTCTTGATTTTTTGAACATTTGGGGTTGGCAATACTATGAAAGTGACGTGAAAGTGTCAGTTTCACTCCATTATTTGTAGTGGGGTAACACCCCCAGAGCCCCAGGCAGGTGCAGTATAAACTCAGAGGGCCTTGCCCTAGTAGGAGGTTTCCAAAAGTTACATGATGGATTCCAAGCTTTGTGAACTGCAAAAAAGTGATAGAAAGTCATCTAGGTTTTTCTACAGTTGTTTCAAGTGTTGTATTCAGAGTTAGTAACAAAGTAAGAATATACATTAATTTTTTTAAACCTAACCAATGTCCCTTAAGTGAATTGACACAAGATGTCAGAACAAGTATTAGTGCTGAGTGGGTCTAATATTTATTTCATTTTCTTTCTTTATCGAGGAATTAGAAATTATTAGCTGCCAGAGCACTGTATCGAAGTATCTGCAAAAAAAGAAAGTTTTCAATGAAATCACGGTTAAAGTCCCTCCCCCCCACCACCAAAATCTGAAGTGGCCGCCCTGGGCAGGGCCTTGCTGGCTGGGGCAGTGTCCTTTCTCCCGCGCCTTCTCCCCAGCTCACCCATTTCAACGCCTGGGGCTGTGCAGGAGCCACCCTGGCTTCAGCTCTGCCCCCCTCAGGCAGAATTTTCCATGCAGCAGCTGTGCACGGGGAGCTCCCGGGCCCAAATGCCGGAGGAGGCAGATCCTCCTGGGGCTCCTGGAACATCCCCGTGCGCAGGACTCTTCATGCACGGAGCGGCTGAATCCCAGAGTGTGCTGCAGGAGGGATCCCAGCCAAGCTCAGAGCAGACACGCGAGGTCCCGCCGAGCTCCCTGTGCTGCGGGGTGGGGAACGATGGGTTTGGGGGCCGCAGCGTGGAGAACCAAATCTCCCTCTGCTTCCAAGCACCAATTTTATAGCCTCCGGGCCAGTTGGGCCAGTTCAGACAGAGCATCACCCCAGCCCTTCTGTGCATGCACCCACCCCATTATCTTTAACGGTGTGCGCCGCTTGTGCGGAGCCCTGACACTATGCAGAGCAGAGGGGAGGAGCAGCACGTGGCAGTGAGATGCTCAGGGCAGCTCGGTGGGAGGTCGGTCTGCACGCCCTGGGCCCACACAGCAAAGCGACGAGGAGTTCCCTAAGGGGCCCTGACATACACTGACCTAGTCTAAATACATTGGAACATGCTGCCACCTGCAGCCACGAGAGAGTATTGCACCATCCAGAAAGGGCCCAGGCGTCCGGGCCGATCCGGGAGCCTCTGCTCTCCGGCAAGCACAGGCGTGGGCCGGATTTCCAGAAGAACTCGGCGCATTGGCTGGAGCCATTACCTGCACCCAGCTGAAGGCAATAAATACACTAGGTGGCCGGTAACGAGAGTCTCCTACTGGCCAGTCCAGGTTCATTGCACTCGTCTGCAAAGTGACCAGATGTCCCGATATGATCGGGCCTGTCGCCGTGTTA